ATAACATTGTATGGTTCCATAATAGAAGTTATGCAAGAGAAACTCGAAAATCCTCCCTTCCCCTTCTGTAGTTCCTGTGCTGTAACTTTCACCAAACAAAACGTACGACTCGCTAAGAGCCATAACGACCTGGCGGCCAACGCTTGACTTATTACAATCAGAAGGTTTTGGCCAATGAATTGATACCAGTTAAGGAAAATAATAGCAGATTTATATATATATATATATATATATATATATGAATATATATATATATATATATATATATATATATATACATACATACATACATACATACATATATATATATATATATATATATATATATATATATATATATATACATACATACATGTACGCACACATACATGTGTGTATATGTATGCACATATATATGTATAATATACATGTATATATATACACATATCTATATTGAGATGTATATGTATTTACACATAGATATATATACGCATGCACACACACACACATATGTATATGTATATGAACGTGTATATATATATATATATATATATATATATATATATATACATATATATATATATATATATATATATATATATATATATACTCGTAGATGCGTTCTGAGAGAACTCTTCAAGATAAAGTTCGACATGAAATATCCTATGGTTTGAGATTTCTGCCAAAAATCACAAGATCTTGGGAAAAATCACTCGTTCGCCAGGCCACCAAGACAGAACACCGTAGTCCGTTATGAATTAATTTTTAAAAATGACACAGTAAGATAAAGACACTGAATTAACTACCACTTTACCTCTGATTAATCTATAGAAGGTAAAAAAAAAATCCATTCGGGAATTGAGCTTTTCATATTCTCGGCCAAAGTGGCGACTCCCCGAAATGTTCAGGGAATGTCTGTTTCTCGATGGAGGTGCAGTGACTAACTGAGCTTTCGAAAATTTAATCACAAAGATAAAGTAAGCTGAAGAAAAAGAACAAGCAATGTTCACGGCTAAAAAGCTTAGCGTCTGGCAACGACGGCTATACATATCACATGGCGCAATTCATCCAAACTATCGTACCGCTACTTCGTCTTCCGGCTCCGCCTTCCGAAGGAGGGAAGAGGAAGAACGGGAAAAAAAGAGAGAAAAAGAAGCAGAAGCAAAATATAAAAAGGAAAACTGCATATAAAGACATAGACGTACATATATATATATATATATATATATATATATATATATATATATATACATATATATATATACATGTACGCACACATACACGTGTATATATATGCACATATATATGTATAATATACATGTATATATACACACATATCTATATTGAGATGTATATGTACTCACACAGAGATATATATACGCATACACACACACACACACACTCACATATGTATATGTATATAAACGTATATATATATATATATATATGTGTGTGTGTGTGTGTGTGTGTGTGTGTGTGTGTGTGTGTGTGTGTGTACATATATATATATATATATATATATATATATATATGTATGTATATATATGTATATATGTAAGCTGAGGAATCCGTCACCATGCAACATTGCAACACTTGAGAGACGAAACGATATGCATACCCACTAGTCTGACGCCTTCATGACCTTGCTTACCTGCTTATCTGGCCTGGGCTGTTTATCCCTATACGTAAACAACATACTAAATAATGTCAGTGGGGTAGTTTTCGCAGCCCAGTTTTATTCTTTTATCATTCTTAATACCTTTTATTAAATCTTTTACTTGCTTCTAAGTATACGAGCCAGGTATTTTACTTGCATTATAGATGCGATCAGCGGATTACCGCATGAAACAAGTGGCCGCACTGATTTGCGTTTCGTGAAACAATCGCGACAGCATTTTCGTACAAGCTGTGTGTACAAAGCTTGGGAAATAAATCAGTCTGCTCCGAGACACCGACGTTGTCACTCGTGGTCGAAACTCTGATGAGTCAACACCTTGTCCTTAACATAGAAGCAATAAATACGAAATCTTGTGCCATTAGAGCCACCCTAGAGCCCGGGGCCTCTAGTATCGCTTGATAGTGTTGTTTCTGTGTTCTAAAGTAAATAAAATAAAGCAAATTCCTGTAATTATAGATCATTATACTGCTTTGCTAGCACCTTCAGTGCTTTGTTTTTGCAGGTGACACGAGGCAGTAGGCCTAGTCAGCACCCCACCTCAGACCCGCAGCTCTCTTCTACACCAGGGTAGCCCTTGTGGCTTTGACCCCTGGGTAGGGAGGCCCAGTAGTCTGGGGCGTCATTTGGGCGCACTTTTTCTTATTTTCTAAATTCTTTTCCTCATAATATGACTTTCCTGAGCCTACCGGAGTTCCTTGTGAACTCCCGTATTCGCTTGGGGGGTGGGCATTGAATTACCGTCCTTCGCCTAGGCAAGTTCGGCGGTAAGGAGGTGTCCCACACATAACTCGATCCCTCTGTGGTACTGGAGAACGCAGCTAGGCTTCCACTGAGGGGGTAGAG